TTTTTGGCAAGTTATATCTGGTCAAATGAAAGGCATTTATTAGTCTTATAAGGTAGTTTAGATAGAATGGCCATGCTCTTTGATGAAATATCACCTTTTCTAATCAAGAGGTCTCTTCTGTTTGAATTTAATCTTTATCAATTTTGATAGTAACCAAAGCTTTTCTTTTTTGGGAACAAAAGCTAAACCTCTTCTCCAATGTAAAACATATCCTGATTTCACTAGCGCCGTTTGTTGAGACTCTGGAATCTCTTTGCATTCTCTAGTGCCATTTGTTGTAATGTCTTTCCACTTCCAGCTCTTGGATGAGCTCAGATTGTTCTCTTTAAAAAGATTACACAGTCAACAGGTCACTCCTAAAATGCTTTCCTGATAGTCTGGTCTAAAAATAGAGTTAGTGAACAAAACAAACTAATATCTGGGAGGAGGACTGGGTATGGAGTCAGATGTTCGACTTGGTCAGTACATAGTTAAGCACAAGGCCTCAAGATACAGGAAACAGGTAAAACGAAGCCAATATATTGAAAGCAGTATTCCAAATTATTTGTCAAAAATATTTGTCTTTTTAATGTCATAGGGCCTAAAGATACACACACACACACACACACACACACACACACACTTTGTATCCTGGTAGTTTTTACACTTCAGTCAACAGGGTGTGCTAGGCATCATGTGTAAATATGGGTAAAAAATGTACTTTCTGTTTGATTAGAAATGTTCACATCCTTTGGTAGATGTGGGTAGCAGATGTCTTTGGGGTAACAGATGTCTTGGCTTTTATAGACTAATTGGCAAAGAGGGAAAAAGAGGGAGATAATTAAAGGGGTGGGAAGAGACAGGAGCAAAGTGCAGTCTTCGTGTTGGGGAAAGATCTAATAGACCTCCTTATTATGGGTAATTGCCCCTTTCTTCAACCTCATTTGCTGCCTTGTGCCATATGACTGAAGAGTAAGTATAAGATAAAGAGCCACAAGGAGGGACTGCTATCTGCTAACAACCAGATTTATCTTGCTGTGGAGTGTTCTAAAGAACTGACTCAATTAACATCAGGTTTTAAAAACACAAAATAGGAAAGCATAAATCAAATCAGTAATGGCAACTTCCATTTTAATTGGCAGCTTAAGGATCTGTGTTGAGGATGGCTGGTGTAAATATCTTCTAATTATACAAATGCAGCCACGTAGTGGACTGGGGAGAAGGGAAGGATGAGAGATAGACTATGGCATGTGTTAGTTTTACATTTTAGATCTCATTTAGTTTTCTGTATGCTCCTTTTCGGTGCGGTTGTCTGCTAATTGACCTGCAGTAAGTAGGGACATGGAATAGGTGTTTGAGCTCATTGCCTTTAGTAAATCCTCAATTTTGTCTGTGTTTTCTATCCTGCAGGGTTTAAGGAAGAGGTGGTGTTTTCTATGCCTTACTACGTCTAGATTATCCTGGTTTGTGTCTTTTATGGGAATTCTATAACTTGTTAAGAAATTAGTTTAAAGTGCCAGTCATCCCATGATAAGAAATACTATGCAACTGTTTTCTTGTGAAGATCCAGTCAGTGCATTGAAGAGAGATATAGGGGATGTGGGTGGGATGTCCTCAGAGGCTTACTTGCTGGAGAATTTAGATAAACTGAGGAGGCAGATTTTTGTTCTAGTGTAAAGCACATGGTACTGAGTTTTATTTGGCCACCTGTGCTGTCAGTAAACTAGTAGAGAGAATTTGCCTAAAAATATCCACCCTGCCTTAAATTTCATTGAAATAATGCAGATCAAAATTTCCAATATCAGTAATAATGACTAACTTATTTCTCTTCTATTAGCATTGAATTTTATTTATCCTCTAGAAACTACTGTGGTTTCCAAAATAATTCTTAACACTATGGCAGCTTTGATGGGATAGAAACAAGATCACTTGTGTAGTCCAGAGACTACATTCAGTCAATTACTTGATTTTTTTTGTTCCTCATTTCATATCTGCAAAATGCAGATAATTGACAACCAAGCTGCCCTGGGAATTGAACACCATGGTAAATGCACATGACATCAGTGTGTGCTTAAAGGCTGAGTGGCTGATGACTGTTTTCACTCCGTGGGGCCATACATCCCTTAGCTGGTTCCATTGACTTCCTGGCTTAGCTCCTTCTGGAAACAAAAACTTAAGATCTTAAAACAAGATCTATTTATTTTTATTTTATATGTACAGTTCTTTTTCTTAGAGGTATATCCGGGCACCCTGTACATGCAGAACTTGAGAAGGCCAGGAAAGAGCAATGGATACATTGGGACTGGAGCTACAGATAATCGCGAGGAGTGGGGAAGCAAATCCAGGTTCTGTGCAAGAGAACCAAGTGCTCTTAGCTGCTGAGACAACTCTTCAGCCCAGAGAATCTAAGGCTCTGATACTAGAGGGACAAAGTCTGTGATAGTATATCAAATGGCTAGGCTTCCCACTTTCAGCCCCTTACATAAGAGGGTAAGGACCAGGCATAGAGTGGTAAGTGTTTCCCATGCTTTGTAACTTCAGATTTTCATGAACTGTTAATTTCGAGTTATCATATCAAATGCAGATAAGTGCTCTACATGTCAAGATTTCTGGGCTTAGTGCTCTTACTTTGGTTCATTTGTCGAGGACTCCATGGTTCCCCAAAGTCAGCCATCAAGTGAGGGACAAAGCCAGGCCAGAGACCGTTCTTTCCTGTTTCTACTGACTGTGGTAAAAGTTAAGAAATGCATTAAAGCTTATCGAAACATTACACAGATCAACCCCAACTGTTATTCCTTCATTACTATTTTTTTCTGTTATATTAGATTTATATTCTATTCCCAGTTGCTAAAAACTAGTGGGATGAGAGAAAAGCTTAGCTCAGACCTTGAAAAGCGCAAGGACACTCAGTCCCACTGGCAGAGCAGAGCGAGACACAATTCCTTATCAGGGCCTTTAATGGCTGTTAGTCCCTGCTTTGGGCAGCTGTTCTTGCAGGGATTATGGAGGTCTGTGGACGGTCTCCGTGTGACAAAGAAAACTAGTTTGACTCTCTTGAGTGTTAGGAGAGGTGGATACTAATGCTTGCGTCATACTTCCTTTGTGCCAGAAACGAACACAAAAGATTTCTATGATTAATTTACTCTCCATAGCAACACGATGAGGCAGTATGTTATCATTGGAGTTATCACATTTCAATTGAGGCCCAGTGGGACTAAGTGATGTCCAAATGACAACACTGTGAATCAGGTGTTGAAGACACTTGGAAGGTTGGGAAATGCTACAATTCCATTCAGCAACACCTGATTGAAAGGCTTTTTTTTTTTTTTTGTATGATCTCTCTTTCATTTAAGGAAACTGACTTAATATGCTTTTGTTGATGTTTTTGACAGAGCCTCGCTAAGTAGCCCCGGCTGGCTAGGAACATGCAGAGATCCATCTGCCTCTGCCTCCTGAGTGCTGGGATGAAAGGTGTGAACCACCTTAACACATGTTTTAGTCTCCTTGGTTGTGAGCCTTAGCCTTTCGTAGCTGTGTCTTTCATCTCTCCAGACTCCTTAACAAGTTTCTTAATCATTCAGTTTTGTACACCTGGCTGTCTGGAATCTCAGCCATCCTAGAATATGTGCTTCTACTTCAGCTCATTACTATTGATAAAAAAGAGTATTTATTCATGATTACTCATTTATAAATTGAATATTTTGTTAGTGTCAAATTGGGTCTAGTTTTAGTCATTAGGAATTTAAAGACGAATTTTATTAACTGATTATATGGCAAAATTTTGGATAGTAAGGAAATTGGGGGTAGTTATGCTTTAACCAAACATTCATTAAAATCATGATAGAAATATTTAAAGTTGTAGTACTTAGAAATGATATATTGAATAAAAATCTGAATAAATTACAACCTCTGAACTCTATTCTGCCATTTCATAGCCAGACAGAATATATCATTTGGACATGTTAGTGAGGGTACGAGTGTGTGTGTGTGTGTGTGTGTGTGTGTGTATGTGTGTGGTAAGAGGGATGTTAAGATGATATGCTAAAAAACAGATTAATTTATCAGCATCTAAGCTTTGAAAGCTTTATTGTCTACTATCAATGTGCTTTCTTTTGTGGAATGGGGGTGCCCATTAAAAACTGTCTGACAGATAAAGTCTGCATACAAATGGCAGTCATGCTATCATGCTAAGATATATCCCTTAGCGGAAGGGGAAGTAGAATGAGTCATCAGTGCCTTCCAGGGGACTACGAGAGCAATATCAACCTTAAGGTCCAGAGAACAGAAACACCAATAATTTTGGACCTACATGTTTCTATGGTTTGCTTTGTGTTCAGCAAAAGCACTTATGAGTTGGGAGAAGTGCAAATGAATATAGCATGCTGGCTCGTTGGGTTGCAGTTGCCCTCACAGCATGCTGGCTCGTTGGGTTGCAGTTGCCCTCACAGCATGCTGGCTCATTGGGTTGCAGTTGCCCTCACAGCATGCTGGCTCATTGGGTTGCAGTTGCCCTCACAGCATGCTGGCTCATTGGGTTGCAGTTGCCCTCACAGCATGCTGGCTTGTTGGGTTGCAATTGCCCTTATTGCATGCTGGCTCATTCAGCTGCAGTTGCCCTCACAGCATGCTGGCTCACTGGGTTGCAGTTACCTTGTGTCACGTCATTGTTCTACAAGCTATGCCAACCAGCTCCTTGTTGCTGAGCTACGGTTTCCTAGCATTTCATCGGCACTATTGATTTAGGAGTAAACTGATTGAGCTTGAGAACGATTTAGAATGTGGGCTAGGAAACCATAGTAACTATAGGAACCGCTGTATAAATTCTGCATAAATCACGATAACCATACAGAGGATAACTGACTGAGTAGCCTGTTAATAAAGCACAGGATAGAAAGGGCAACTTCATCACATTTAACACCCCTCTTTAAGTTATGTTAAGATTGAGCTTCTGTTCTCAAGAACCACAGAGTAACTGCATGCCATCTTCTATATTTTAAAGCTTCTTGCCTTACTTTTTCCAGGACTGAAGTGTGTGTGTCTTTTGTGTGACTCTTCAAACTTTACCTGCCAAACGGAAGGAGCATGTTGGGCCTCTGTCATGTTAACCAATGGGAAAGAGAAGGTGATCAAGTCCTGCGTGTCGCTCCCAGAGTTAAATGCTCAAGTCTTCTGCCACAGTTCCAACAATGTGACCAAGACAGAATGCTGCTTCACGGACTTCTGCAACAATATCACACTTCACCTTCCGACAGGTAAGGGGTGGCATAGCCACACCCATTCCTAATGATGCTTCACTCTTGGAAGATGATAAGCAGGGCAACAACCAAACCATATAATATTTCCTGAGATAAACATGTGTATTTTACTCTTCTTCTTGTTTTTGGTTGGTGAAACTCTCTAGAGTCTAGCTGTGATTGATGTTTGAATTCTTAAATTGTGCATCCCTGTCAAAACACTGACAATAGTGTCACAATCTTGGGGAAATTTGACCACAGGCATTACAATGTTTGACATAACTAATGGACCTCTAGTGAAATGTAAATTTTCATAAATACTTTTTATTAAAGAAAGCAAAGAAAAGAAGGGATATCTAATCTTAAGTGATAGAAATAGATCATCAGCCTACTGTAGGAGAAGGGAAGGGATAAGAGAATGTTTTGGAATGATGGAAATGGTCATATATACATCCAACTTCATCAAAATGAAGCATATATACTGAATCATGTTAAAGTCATGCCTCCATAACACTGATTTTTTTTTTTTAAAAAATGAAAGACTTGTTTCTGGCTGAGTTTGAGGGCACAAGCAGAGCATAAAATTGATCTGGGAAGAATCTATTCTACCCTACCAAGACCCTCTGATTGCACAGCTATATAAGCAGTGTCTTGTCCTGAAAGAGATGTTGTTGTTCAAGTCCTTTACTGGATTCAAGTTGACTGACAGAGCGTGGACTTATAAAAAGCCAGCAGAGCAGCCAATGGGACGCTCCTCTTCATCCCCTGCACCTTTTGTATCTTGTCACTGATGAAAACCAACAATAAATATAAAGCCTTACTTTAGGATGCCTCTGGCTCTCGGGTAAACCAGGGAAGGACATGTCCATGGCATTACAGATCATCACCAAGTCCAGGAAGGCTATGTGTAGGATAGAGGGAGGCTGTGCGATATAAACCAACATTGCAGACGGCTCTAGGGCCTGAAATGGGCTGATAGCTTGTCAGGTTGAAGCGTGTGACGTAATACTTAGAACAATGTTTTCTGAAGAATGAACTAGGTACCACAGCGGTACTCAAAAGGATTTAGAGAATTTTTAGGTGGCTTTTAAAGTGCTAAACACGATATTGAACTTCAAAAAAGCAGTTGTAGGTCTGTACTGAAAACTCATATTTAATTTTGTTACTGTGTACAAACTCGCTTACCTTGATCAAAAATTCTGTGTGCAACCACTCTGGAAAGCAGTGTGGAGGTTTCTCAGGAAATTTGGGATCAACCTACCCATGGACCCAGCAATACCACTCTTGGGAATATACCCGAGAGAGGCCTTATCACACAACAAAAGTATATGCTCTACTATGTTTATAGCAGCATTGTTTGTAATAGCCAGAACCTGGAAACAACCTAGATGTCCTTCAATGGAAGAATGGATGAAGAAAGTGTGGAATATATACACATTAGAATACTACTCAGCGGTAAAAAACAATGACTTCTCGAATTTTGCATGCAAATGGATGGAAATAGAAAACACTATCCTGAGTGAGGTATCCCAGACCCAAAAAGATGAACATGGGATGTACTCACTCATAATTGGTTTCTAGCCATAAATAAAGGACATTGAGCATATAATTTGTGATCCTAGAGAAGCTAAATAAGAAGGTGAACCCAAAGGAAAACATATAGTCACCCGCCTGGATATGGGAAGTAGACAAGATTGCCGGGCAAAAACTGGGAACTTGGGGTGAGGTGGCATGGGGCCAAGGGGAAATGGGGTGAGAAACGTGAGAAGGGGAGATTGGGGGGAGCTTGGGGGAATGGGATGGTTGGGATAAAGGAAGGGTGGACACGGGAGCAGAGAAATATATATCCTAATTAAGGGAGCCATCTTAGGGTTGGCAAGAGACTTGACTCTAGAGGGGCTCGCAGGTGTCCAGGGAGATGTCCCCAGCTAGTACCTTGAGCAACTGAGGAGAGGGAACCTGAAATGACCCTATCCTATAGCCATACTGATGAATATCTTGCATATCACCTTAGAACCTTCATCTGGTGATGGATCGAGATAGAAACAGAGACCCAAATAGGAGCACCGGACTGAGCTCTTAAGACCCAAATGAGGAGCAGAAGGAGGGAGAACATGAGCAAGGATGTCAGGACCACGAGGGTTGCACCCACCCACTGTGACAGTGGAACTGATCTCTATTGGGAGCTCATCAAGGCCAGCTGGACTGGGACTGAATAAGCATGGGATAAAACCGGACTCTCTGAATGTGGCGAACCATGAAGGCTGATGAGAAGCCAAGGACAATGGCACTAGGTTTCAATCTTAATGCATGAACTGGCTTTGTGGGAGCCTAGCCTGTTTGGATGCTCACCTTCCTGGACCTGGATAGAAGTGGGAGGACCTTAGACTTCCTGCAGGGCAGGGAAACTGGACTGTTCTTCAGTCTCCAGAGTGAGGGGGAATGGAGTGGGGAGAGGGGGAGAGGAGTGGGGAGAGGGGAAGGGGAGTAGGGGAGGGGACGATGTGTGGGAGGAGGAGGAGAGAAATGGGAAACGGGGAGGAGGTGGAAATTTTTTTAACAATTAAAAAAAATAAAAAATAAAAAGTGATTACCTCTTAAAAAAATTCTGAACACTTTCACTTTTTTGTTTTTCTTCAAGATGTCTTATTTCATGCTACTATATCTTTACCACTTAGGTGTTTGTTGTCCTGCTTTTGTGTTTTGAGACAGGGTTTCTCTGTGTATCCCTGACTGTCCTGAAACTCAATTTGTAAACCAGACTGGCCTCGAACTTGCAGTGCTGGAATGAAAGGCATCCACCGCCACTGCCTTTTCAGTTTAAACATTTAGGGTTATGTTTAACTTCAATTTGTGAAAAATGACACAGAACACAATGGCGAGATAAAGGTATAAATTTATTTTAGTTTTTTTTTTTCTTTTCCATGTGGGTAAGAAGTTGTTTCAATGTTCAACATCAGTTGTTAAAAGCTCTGGCCTTGGGGCTGGGGAGAATGGCTTGCTGGTTAAGAGCATTGGCTGCTCTTCCCAAAGACAGAGGTTTGGTTCCCAGCATCCATGTGGTAGCCTATAACCCTCTATAACTCCAGTTTGAAGGGATCTTCTGCCTGATTCTGACATCGGTGGGCACTGAAAGTACCTGGTATACACAGATATACATTTAGCAAAACATCTCTACGTATAAAATAAATATAAAGAAATCTTTAAAAAATAAAGAGCCCTGGTATTTCCATGTAGAGTTATTTTGATACTTTATTTGAAAATAAGGCAGATCTATGTGTATATCTGTATATCTATTTAAAAGGATATATTTATGGATGCTTTGTGCTATGTAGTTTTTCTGTGCCTTAAGCTAGTATTGAACTATCTCAGTTACTACAGGTGTTTTAATAAAGATTGAAATTAGGAGGTGTGACCCTTCTAGCTCATTTTTTTTTTTTTAAAAAAATCTTATCTAAGTAATATAAGTAATTTTCATCTTGGTTTAAATTTAATCAGCTTACTTTTCCAAAACACACACTGAGATTTTGATTAACTGAGTTGAATACATGGAATAAGCTGGAGATAATAGTCATGGTAATAATATTGATCCATGAACATAGTATGTTTTTCCATTCATTTCATCCTCTCGTTACTCTCGGTCATGTTTGTACTTATCCGGGAACACAGCCTGGGCATACATATTTCATTGAGTTTACTGACCTTCTTAGTGTGGTTGTGAATGGCATTTTCAGTATCTCAGTTTGTAAATGTTCATTTCTCCTACGTGAAAAAGCTGATTTTGTTAATTGAGCTCACATGAAGATAATGTATTAGTTCCAGTATATTTATTTATTTTGAAATGTTCTTTGGACTTTTTCATTATTTGTGAACATAATCATCTTAAAAAGTTTTCGTTCTGATTGGCCTCATTTTGTTTCTTCTTGTATTTTGCACACCTGCAGACCTCTAATGTGCTGCTGACTGGAGACAGTGGAAGCAAAGACTCTTGCTGTCCCAGGGAAAGTGCTTGGTCCCTTATTGCTTTTTATTTCTGTTATTTATTCATTTTTGTTTTTGTTTTGAGACAGAGATTGCTTGGTACTCACTATGTAGCCCAGGCTGCTCTCAAATTCATGGCTATCTTGTCTCCAGTTTTCTAAGTGCACAAGGATTTATAGAACTATGTCCACCATCCCTGACCATCAGTCCTTTCGCTAGCAATTATTATGTTAAACATAGGTAGCAGGTGCCTAGTATTAATGGGAAGAGTTTTCTTTTATTTTTAAGTTGGTGAAATTTGTTTTTAATCCTAAGTGGATATTCATTTTTCAAACATTTTATGGCTTTGTTAAGATTATCTTATGACAATGATTGCATTAACTAGATTCTAATCATTATCCTTAGAAAGGGAAATATGTGTTTTGTAGTCATTAACTAATATATCTACAAGAAATGCTATGTATGTCATTGAATTAAAAAATCTTTATTAAAACTAAGAATTTATTTCATTTAGTGACATGGTATGGTAAGTGGGCACTAAATTGAAAAGTGCTACATGTAGGATATGTGGTCTCCTTGTGTGGAGTTTTTCTTGAGCAGGGCTAAGAATGGTTCTTAACTATGCGTGGAACTTTGAAACTTACCTAAGCACAGACCATAACAGCAATTACACCATTGTTGACCGAGGTTTCTGTCCCACCTGGTCCTGCAGTTTTTCTTCTGTTGACTGAGGTTTCTGTCCTGCCCAGTTCCTGCAGTTGTTAAGTCCCAAAGAAATCACACAGAGATCCACATTAATTATAAACTGGTTGGTCTAGTAGCTCAGGCTTCTTACTAACTTATATAGCTTATTAACTATTATCCCATAATTCTTTTCTGTGTTAGCCACATGGTTTGGTACCTTTTTTCAGCAAGGCAGTCACATCTTGCTTGTTCTGTGTCTGGATTCATCTGTGTCTGGGTGATGACTGCAGACTGACTGTTTCCTCTTCCCAGAATTCTCATGTTCTCATTGCCCTGACTCTACTTCCTGCCTT